TTTTTTAAAAAAAAACCCTTTTTTTATCTTTAATGTTTAAAATTCAACTTTATTTTAATTCTTCTGTTACTTTTTACACATGTAACACTTTAGATGATTGGAATTCTAAAGTAGTTGGACTAAAAATGAATTAAAAAACTCTTTTTTGGTCCTTTTACTTTAAAAAATTCCTTTTTGGTCCCTTTATTTTATAAAAAGTCCCTGTTTTATTTCCTCTATTTTAGAATTTCTATTATCTAATGTAAAATTCATACAAAAAGATAATGAAGGGATTAAAAAATTACTAGATTTTAAACTTTAAGAACCAAAAAATAATTTTTTTAAATAGATAAACTAAAAAAACTTTTGTTAAAATAGAGGGACCAAAAATATTTAACCAAAATAGAAAATAAAAAACTATTTTTTTCGATAAAAAATGTATTTACTAGTTTTATCTCCTATATTAGTAGTTCAATTCCTCCATTTCAAAGTTCCATAATTTTAATAAAAGCATACATAATTAGCTTCTTAACATGAATTGATTAGAAAGAAATGTTGTCGTAATTCTAGTACCTGTTGCAAATCTGAGCTGTACTCTGTTGCCAGCGGGTTGCTTCGTCTTCATGCTTGCTTCCCCTGCACGGACAATCAGAAAATAATATAAATTCCGAATTCATTACATTATTGTATGTAATTAAGGAAAAGGAACTATAAAAAATACAGAAACATAGCTACTACCGATCATGGGATGGTCTTTTCTCTGCACAGGCTTTGTCGGGAACAAAAGTTTCAGAGATTTTCATAATTGACAAAATTAGGAAGGCTTCTTCTCTGTGTGTACTTTTTTTTTTTTTTTGGAGACAATAGCTTCATCAAATTTATACCATAACTTGAAAGCTTATGCTTGGTCATCCTGTTTTTAAAGTTAATTGCTTGGCTTGGAAATGAATTTGCAACTGCAACGATGTTTCGGTTTTCATTTTCACGGTTGCATTTCGTGGAAAGAGAGATTGAGATAAAAAAAAAAAGTTAAACCCCCATTTTGGTCCGTCAACTATTGTACAGATCCCCGACTTAGTCCTTCAACTCAAAAAATCTTTAATTTGGTCCTTACTGTTTACCATTTTTATCCCAATTTAGTCCCTCCATTAAAAATCCAATGATGTGTCATGTTAATTAACTGAAGCATGATGACGTGTCTAAATAGAGTGACACCTCATACGCAGACCTGTAAAAAAAAATGACATGGCAGTATGATTTTGACCCCAAACTAAAAAAAAAGGAGTGGGTCCCACTTGAACCCTTCTCCCCCTTTCTTTCCATTCGAACTTAGAACAACAGAGCTCTCTCAATTCCTCAGCAAGAATCCATAGAAAAAAAAAAAGAGAAAATTTTTGTATTTTTCCCAGTTCCTAGTTCCTCCTCAATTCCTTCATCAATCAATTCTTTATCATCATGAAACAACAGGATCCACAGAGAAAAAAAAACAGAATTTTTTTTTTTTACTTTTTGCTCTTGGGTTCGTTCGAACCCAGGAAGCTAGGAATCCACCTAGGTTCGAAAGAACTTAGGAAGCCAGGCGTCTTCCTGGGTTTGAACGAACCCGGAGGATGCCTGGGTTCGTCCTCTTCCTGGGTTCGAACAAACCCAGAAGGACGCTTGGGTTCATCCTCCTCCTGGGTTCGTTCGAACCCAGGAAGCCAAGCGTCTTCCTAGGTTCGAACGAACCCAGGAGGATGCCTGGGTTTGAAAGAACCCAGTAAGCGTTGGATTTGAAGGGGAAAAGAAAGGGAGAGAAAAGAAAGAAAAAAAAAAAAGAATTTTTAAAGTTTTTTTTTGACATATTTTTTTCCATGTCATCACTTTTTTCATGCGTGCATATGAGGTGTCACTCTATTTAGACACGTCATCATGCTTTAGTTAATTAACATGACACGTCATTGGATTTTTAACGGATGGACTAAATTGGGGTAAAAATAGTAAACAGTAGGGACTAAATCAGGGATTTTTTGAGTTGAGGAACTAAGTTGGGGGTCCATACAATAGTTGAGGGACCAAAATGAGGGTTTAACCTAAAAAAAATAGGGGGAAAGAAGGAGCAAACAGAGTGACCACACAGCTGCAAACAAAAAAAAAAATTTTTATACAGTGAGTTATATAAAATTAAAAAAATAATATTTTTTAAAGTATGTCCAGGGACAGCATGAGAGGAAAGGAAACTGAGTGGAAATGAAGTAGAAGAGAGGAACGAAGGTTGACCACGTCATATGCCAAACAGCGGTCAACGAAGCTGAAAAGTAGTAATTGGCTAATTGCTTTGCGCTGTGGAAATTAAGCGCGTAAATTTTAATATAAAATTTATATTTAATTTAAAATTAGTTAATAATAAATAAAATAACTCCTTTTATATTTAATTTATAAAATTTTTTATTATATTATTAGTAAAAAATTTTCTCTTCTAACACATTATCTCATCTCACATATAAATTCAATATAAATATCAAGTCTTGCCATATAATTTAATACGCCTCCTTATATATAAACTCAATAAATTCTATTTGATAAGTTAACAATATATATAAACTCAATAAATTCTATTTGATAAGTTAACAATATGCATTCTAGAAATAGGGTATAAATTCTAATATTATATGAAAATTGAAAATATAACCTTCAATACAAGACTTGTTAATTTAAAACCAATTGGACACACCCACTTAAATATAGGTTGTCACTTAACTTAATACACCCTTCCATGCAGATTCACTATTATTTTCTAGTCTTATTTAGTGGACCAACAATTGGTTTTTCAAATCAGAATATGACTCTGATACCATATAAAAATTAAATATGTGAGTTTTGATACAAAATTTTTATCCAACTTAAAATTTATTGATAATAAATAGAATAGTTTTTTTTATATTTAATTCACAAATTTTTTTATTATATTATTGATGTGAGATTTTTCCATTCAACATGTACTAGTTTGGTATAGAGATGACAAAGTATGACAAGAACAAGTGGAAGAATTTCTAGATTTTCACTTGCCTAAAGTGAAAAGATTTTGAAATACAGTACTCCTTATGTTTATTTTTAATAAATATAATTTGATTTTTTAATTTTTTAAATATAAAATTTAAATAAAAATTAATGTGAGATTTTTCCATCCAACACGTACTGGTTTGGTATAGAGATAACAAAGTGTGACAAGAACAAGTGGAAGAATTTTTAGATTTTCAC